AATGTTTTCTTAGTGTTTGAACAATGTTCTCTATAAATTATATTTAAAAAATTACAATGCTGAACAGTGTTGACCTGCTTAAATTATTTGCTGAATCTATCTATAACTGTTGCCACTCCTGACAAGACTAAATTATTCTATAAAGATCATCTAGAATACTTTGATTGTCATAATGTACTAAGCTTTTTACATGTATTAACTACTTTCATCCTCAAAGTAAAACCAAGAGATAGACACTTAGTATTATTCCCATTTTACAGATGAAAAAAATCTGAGGTGCAGAGAAATTAAGCCCGAGGGAATACTTAAACCCTGGCACTCAGTCTGGATCCAGAGCCCTTAAATATTATGTTATACTGCCTCACTAATGAGCTCATAATTTCTTAATCTTATTCAAGTTTTAACTCAAACAAGAAACTAAAAAGGTCACACACACATGCATTTCCACACACACACACACACACACACACACACACACACACACGAGTACATACCGGGGGTGCCAAAAAACGTATACACATGACTTGTACTCATCTTTTGTTATTGGTATATATCAAGTATTACAATTTTAATAGTTTTTTCCTTTCTTAAAATGTGTATATACTTTTTTGACACCCTCTGTGTGTGTGTGTATACATATACATACACATACATATATAAAATATAAACATACATACTATGTAGATGATACAAAAGCACATCAGGGCTTTAGAAGGAAATAAAGAAGGGTCCATGGAACAATTATTCCCTTCTGTTATTTATATCATAGTGGAATTGATTCTTCTTCCCTCACATCCCTACCATACTTTGTTTTTAATCTTGGTACAACAAATATTTAGGAGTTATCTAAACCCAGGTAACTGGATTAGTCAATACTGAATAAATGGCATCCATTTGCAAAGTTTTAGAAAGGTAATAGCATTGTATTTCACTTCTAATCACATTCTTATTACATAAATATCCACGACATAAAGACAGTGTTAGATAACATTAAACTTTCCAGAGTCTACAGCAGCTTCACAATTCAGAATTAGGTTCTGAAACAAAGCTAATAAAGGTCAAGCTGTGAGATTAGTAACTACTTAATTGACACCTAAGCTACAAAACAGTGGTGCTGAAATCAGTTGGGAGGCAATTATCTGCTACAATGAAAGGAAATAAATGGTGAAGAGAAATGAGGGTTGTTTTTTTTTAAATCCAAACACACATATACTTTTCTGTAAAAAGTATGATTTATGAATTTAAGAGAATATTTTATCATAGCTGTTTTCTTAAATTTCTTTCCCACAGTTCAACTCTCCTCACAGAAGAATTCAACTAATGATGGCATATAATTTTATCAGTGAGCCTATGGCACTGACATATTTTCCTTTTCTCTGAGACTGACTTTCATTATACCTAGAGAAACAAAAGTAAAGTTAGAGCCTGTTATAATATGAATCATTATATCACAAATTCAGTAATAACACAGAAGCAAGTCCCCAAAGCCACTAACTTCATTGAGTAAAAACTATGAGTTTGTCAGAAATGCACAATGGCTTTAGAACATAAACCTAAGTAATTTAAAATATATCACTGATATACATCAAGAAAACCTGTTTAATCCCACGTGTGTAAAAATAAACTCAAAATTTCTTAACCTTTGACTCAAACAAGAAACTACAAAGGTTCACAACAGAAACCCAAAAAGGAAGATTAAATTATATACAATCAAATACATAATAAAAGACATGAATGATTAATAATGGAAAAATCTAATTTTATCCTATAGTTTCAACATTTTCCCCTACCAAAGCTTTTCTAAAGCTCCAAGCAAGTGGCTGAAACAACTAATTTGAATTTTACTTTCTTTTTCTTTCTCTCTCCAATTACTTTCCAATAAAAACATTCATAAAATGTGCCATAGTACAAATGTACCAGATGTAACCTCAAAAATCTGTTCTGACGATTAAATGAATTAAAATTCATTACGTATCTCAGTGTATGGCACATAGCAAACACTCAATAAATGGTAAGAAGTATTATTATAATTACCTATTAATAGTAATAGCACAGCCTTTCATTTGTATACCATTTCTTCACAATGTCTTAAAATACAAAATTCTTAATAGTTTACAGAATTAACACTGATTTCCAGTATTCCTGGATGTCTGTAAAATTTGAGTAAGAACACAGAAAAAAAACTACCTAGGGCTGGCCAAGTGGCGCGGTGGTTAAGAACTGGCTTGGGATGCCAGAGGGCCCTGGTTCGGATCCCACATATGAGGGCCAGTGACACTGCCCTCCACAGCTAAGATGCTGAACAACAGCTCAACCTGGAGCTGGGCAGCCGTGAGTCAACGGCGACCGTGTAGGCTGCAGCCCCTGTGGCAGTGGGTTGCCATGGACTACCGTGTGTAGCCAGCAGCCAGCGTGAGCGGCCAGCCGCCGCCGTGAGCTGCCGTCCAGAAGCCGGCGACTGATCTGCCTCGCACGGGAAGAGCGCAATGATGGTGCCAACTTGGGCCAGTGAAGCAACGTCCTCCACAACTACACTGAAGAACAAAACAACAGCAACTTGTCTGTTCCCCTTCCCCCAATTTCCCAATAAAAATCTTAAAAAAAAAACCAACAAAACTACCTATAGTGGTTCACCCAACCAAATTATATCTTATCACTGACTATGGAAATAAAGCATGTTTTTTGGGCAACTGTGTTTACCTTGCTTAAATTCAGCTCAAAAATTAAGGTATATATCACAAACACTCCTGTAATCCATTTTTCAATTAAATTTTGAAATTATTGATATTTTTAATTTGTTCTACCTGAATTAGCTCTTTTCACTGTATCCTTAATTACTCCCTTTCAATTTTGAGAGGTGTACTATTAATAAACCTACTAGTATATTCTACTATTCTAGAATTTTATTAATTTTTTTATCTAATCTATGGTTCAATATAAAAGGCTTTTCCAGTCAATACACAATTCCTAGAATTCCCTGGATTCCTACAATTCAGGGAATAAGATTTTTTTTTTTAAATCTCCTTTGCATGCTTAGTGACATTTACATTTTGAAATAAAATTTATGATTCATTAAAACCAATCTTCTTTATATTAGAAATAAACAGAATACACAACAAATGGATGAGATTTATCTTCCACAAAATAACCCTAGAAATTAATTAGTAAGATATGCAATGCTGTTAAGATTCCATTTCCTAAATATCCACCAGACTAATGCATCTTTAAGTATTCGAGAAATTAAATGTAACAGATATAAAATAAATTGCAATCTATAACATAGTGATTGATCTACAAGGCCCTGAGAAAAGTGGTCAAAATGAATATTCATCTTGCTTTGTTCCAAGGAAAAGGACATAACTGGTTGGTATAAGCATCCAAGCCCCTTGAGAATTATTCTCTATAGAAAAAAGGGATAATTATTAAGCTTCTATCATAATTTCGATGATGAATATCATTCAAGACTGGAATCCAACTTCCTTTTCTTTGATTCCATGATTACCACACATATACTTACTTCTCCCAAGTTCTTGGATACAGGAAAGAATGCACTAGATTTTTAACCGGAAAATTCTGATCACTGGAAAGGGTTATCTTCTATTCCAACATAAACCGGCATTCTAATGTGTACATTCTAATGTGTACATCATTCTCTTCCTTAGGTTAGTTTGAATTGGTTCCTGAAGTCTGGGGCATACCTTAGTAAAAGTATAAATCTGAACTTCTTATTGGAAATATGAGAACCAGACATTTCTTCTCATTGACAATTGTTACAATCATCTCTAGGTTTTCACTCCCTGCTCTTACTCTGTCTCTAAAATAAAACATGTAAAACAACAAAAAAAAGAGGTTTTGGGTTTTTTTGCCTACTGAAACACAACCAAACCAAATTTAGGCAGATTAATTTAAACACCAAAATGAGTAATTATGAAGGAACAACCTAGAACTTAAAACCAAAACAAGGATGCAAGTTTACACAAGCCTCACTTATTTCTACTCTACTCCCAAAAGAATAGAAACCTATGATATTCAAATTATGCTTTAAGAGAGCATCTAGAAGTTATTTTTACACTTACATTATTCAACATTATAAAGTGGTTTGGCCTATGTGACTCAATTATTTTAAGACGTAAAGATGTATTTAAGACATCCCATGTGGCACACAGCAGGGTAGGAACACCTGCATTTGAAGTGCATGGAGAGTTCAAATGATAACTCAGGCTTTTCTCACTGAGTCATTCAAAAGCGAGTGTATTATCCCTTCAAAAACCAAAAAAATTATCTTCCACACTCCAAAAACTTCAGCCTTACACCAGACACTCCATCTCTTCAATTGTGTCCGCTTAACTTTCATTTACAAGGAGAAAATGCTCCCCAAATTCACAGTTCACCTAAAACAAAGAAATGTCTGTTATCAGCTTTAAATCTACAGGGCAGAACTCTCTTAGGACCGTGATGCCAAGAACTTCTACCGCAACCGAAATTTGCTTTGCAACCTCGGTTTCCAGGAGACTGAAAGGCGGCGGAGTCGCCTGAGGATACTGCAGGGAGGTTGGGGCCGCGGAGGGAGCCGGAAGGGGTAAGGAGTGAGTCCCACAGAGGAACTGCATTAGGAGACTTTGAGAAGGTACAAGGGAGAGGCGGTTAGCTGTGGAGGGAAAAAACACACCAGATTTATCTCCAGATAAAGCACGTTTTCAAAGAGAAAGTGATGATAAGGGAAAAAAAACCCTCCAAGGCCGGAGGATAAGCAAAGTAGGAAAAGAGGAATGGGGGAGAAGGTGGGGAGAGTTAAAGGCCCAAAAGACCAGGATTTGAAAACAAGTACGCACACTATGAGCTTGGCCTTGACCCGGATCTTGTGCCCCAGTAAGCGGATGGCAGAGGGAAAGGATCGCCACTTCCTCAGGGTTGCAGAGAGCTAAACGTTTACAAAGCTAACGAGTCCTGCACAAGAAGATGTCTCCTCTCTCTCTGCTTGCTCCCGTTCATTTCTTTACCTCTCACTCCCGCACCAGCGGCAATCCGGCAAAACGCTGCCAATGCCTGCGCCGCAGGTGGATAGCAAAAGGAAAACTACCTGAGTCTCAAGAACCGCACCGGCAGCAACCGGAGGTGGAGCAGTGGACAACAAGCCGGGGCAGATCCTCACTTGCCTCTAGTCAAACCTCAATTCTTACGGGTGGGGCAGGGAACTTCCGCCGTAAGCAAGGAGGGCGTCACTTCCGCCTAGTGCCTTTCCTCCCACACACAGATCCCCCTCGCTTTCTCCGTTTAGGTTCATTCGCTACGTTCGCTACGTTCGCAACGTTCTCACTTCCTTTTTCCAGGAGAGTTCTGCCTAGTCTTAGTACCTGACGTGGACTACATGACCCAGCATTCACTACGGCAGGTTGATTTCCGGGTCAAGAGGTCCGTGCTGGGTACATCACCATGGAAGCGATCGGTTTGGTCACGTGGAGCCCCTGGTTACGCCCGGTCGTAGCTGTGGGGTCTGGGGTTTAGGCGGGGGCCATTTTGCCGGAGGCTGCTGGAGTTGGGGGCGGCCTGGCAGCTGTCTTAAGCTGTTTCTTTTCCTCCTCTGCAGCCTGGGGCTTGGAGAGGAACAAAAAGGTTGGGCTCCATCAAGCCCTTCGGAGACATGGTTTCCTCCAGCCTCCGCCACCTAACGATCCTGCATGGCGGCTGCGTCCTCCGCGCTGCTTCTGCTGCCGCCCCTTCCAGCCCAAAGTTCCTATCGCCTCCGGAGTTGCAGTGGTCCTTCCGTCTCACGGACTGATGATAGTCGAGGTGGGGGCATCATGAGAGGCGAGAAAAACTACTGCTGCCGTGGAGCTGCAGGAGACCACGGTTCCTGCCCCACAACACCATCACCTCTGGCCTCGACCGTCTTGATGCCGGCGGAGGCGATCTCAAGTAGTTGGTCTGAGTCTGGAGGTGGTTTGTCAGGGGGAGATGAGGAGGAGACTCGGCTCCTTCAACTCCTCCGGACCGTGCCGGATCCTTCTGAGGCCTTCCAGGCGTTGCAGGCTGCTTTGCCGCGGCGGGGCGGTCGACTTGGCTTTCCCAGACGGAAGGAAGCATTGTATCGCGCCCTGGGCCGAGTGCTTGTGGAAGGAGGTAGTGATGAAAAGCGACTCTGCTTACAACTCCTCTCGGATGTTCTCCGAGGTCAGGGGGAAGCAGGCCAGCTCGAAGAGGCCTTTAGCTTAGCACTTCTGCCTCAACTAGTTGTCTCCTTACGGGAAGAGAATCCAGCCCTGCGGAAAGATGCGCTGCAGATCCTACACGTATGTCTGAAACGCAGCTCTGGGCAGGTGCTGAGAACGCTTATACAACAAGGACTGGAAAGTACCGATGCCCGGCTTAGAGCTTCCACAGCACTACTGTTCCCCATCTTGCTTACTCCTGAAGATTTGTTACTAGGCCTAGATCTTACCGAGGTGATACTGTCCCTAGCCCGAAAGCTTGGCGATCAGGAGATAGAAGAAGAAGCAGAGACAGCTTTCTCTGCACTTCAACAAATTGGGGAGCGACTTGGCCAAGAGAGGTTTCAATCCTACATCTCTCGCCTGCCCTCTGCCCTGAGGAGACAATACAATCGCCGCCTGGAGGCCCAGTTTGGCAGTCAGGTTCCTTATTATTTGGAACTTGAAGCCTCTGGATTTCCTGAAGATCCCCTCCCCTGTGCAGTGACTCTTTCCAACAGCAATCTTAAATTTGGGATCATTCCTCAGGAACTGCATTCAAGATTGTTAGATCAGGAAGACTATAGGAACCGGACTCAGGCCGTTGAGGAACTAAAACAGGTGATGGGACGATTTAACCCTAGTTCTACCCCTCATTCTAGTCTTATCAGTTTCATTAGCTTGCTGTATAATTTGTTAGATGATTCTAACTTCAGAGTGGTCCATGGCACACTTCAGGTTCTGCATTTACTGGTTATTCAACTTGGAGAGCAGGTACAGCACTTCTTGGGACCAGTTATAGCAGCTTCTGTCAAAGTGCTGGCAGACAACAAGTTGGTGATCAAACAAGAATACATGAAAATCTTCCTCAAGCTAATGAAGGAAGTAGGTCCTCAACAGGTGCTTTGTTTACTCCTGGAACATCTCAAGCATAAGCATTCCAGAGTGAGAGAGGAGGTGGTGAACATTTGCATCTGCTCGCTCCTGACCTATCCCAGTGAGGATTTTGACTTACCCAAACTGTCTTTTGGTCTTGCCCCAGCCCTTGTAGATAGCAAACGCAAGGTACGCCAAGCAGCTCTCGAAGCCTTTGCTGTGTTGGCATCATCATTGGGCTCAAGTAAAACCAGCATCCTTTTCAAAGCTGTGGATACTGTTGAACTGCAAGATAATGGAGATGGAGTGATGAATGCTGTGCAGGCCAGATTGGCCAGGAAAACCCTCCCAAGGCTAACAGAACAGGGATTTGTGCAGTATGCAGTACTCATGCCATCGTCCGCCCAGGGTAGGTCAAGCCATTTGGCACAGGGAGCAGATACAGACTGGCTTTTGGCTGGTAACAGAACTCAGAGTGCACACTGTCACTGTGGTGATCACACGAGGGATAGCGTGCAAATTTATGGATCTTACAGCCCAACTATCTGTACCCGAAGGGTATTAAGTGCAGGAAAAGGAAAAAATAAATTACCATGGGAAAATGAGCAGCCTGGAGTCATAGGAGAAAACCAGACCTCCAATTCCAAGGATATAGAACAGGTATGCATCTTCTCCAATTAACTTGAGTTGAAATTAAAAGAATTTAAAATGAAAATATGCCTGTAATGAGTTAAGGGTGAGGCTGCTTTAGGGTTATTATGCTTTGTGTTTAAATCAATTTGTTGATGTATTTGAATGCTGATGTATCTATTATAATGGTACAGATCACATAAACGTTTAATAGGCTTTCTGCTTGGTGGATTTCATTAAATTCTAGGCACAATGTTTTATAGACCGTACTTGGATTTCACTTTTGGCCTGTCACTTATTGTATGACTCAATTATTCATACAACAAATGCTGTATACCTAGTAGGTGCCAGATAAAGAGCTAAATTCTGGGAATGAAGATGGACTGGTTCCACAGAGTTCAGGGAAAAGGCCAGACCTGTAACTAGGCAGTTACAAATTTGTTAAGTGCTAAAATAGAAATACAAAGAATCTTATGGGAATACTGAAAATAGAAAGAAATAATTCCATTAGACAAGTCAAGGCCTTCTGAGAATGTGTAACATCTGAACTGAAATTTCCTGCCCGCCCCCAAATTTTTATTTTGAAAATTCCAAATCTACAGATAACTTAAAAGTACAATGAATATCCATATACTCCTGTATTTACTGGTTGTTATTATCTTGCCATATGTACTCTATATTTGCCAAACCATTTGAAAGTAAATGCAGATATATTAACATTTCATTCCTACATATTTCTGCATATATCTCCTAAGGATGACATTCTTTATAACTATTGTACCATTATCACACCTCAGAATATAAATAGTAATTTGATAATATCTAATATATGGCCTGTATTTAAATTTCTCCGATTTTTATGGTATTTGTTTTATTTTTATCATCCAGGATCCAGTCAAGGATCATGTGGTTAATAAAATCTAGAACAATATGCTGTTTGTTTTTTGTTTTTTCATGACATTGAGTTTTTTGAAGAGCTGGGGTAGTTGTTTAGAATTTCCCACATTATTCATTTGTCTAATTGTTTCCTTATGATTACACTCAACATAACAGTTTAGCAGAAATATTGCATAGGAGAGATGTAAACTTCACGTTACATCACATCATGAGGCATATAATACCAGTTGTCCCACATTTTGTGATGCTAAATGTTATCACTTGGTTAAGGTGGTGATAGCCAGATCACTCCATAGTAGAGGTTTATTTTCCTCTTTATAATTAGCACATGATCTGTAGGATAATACTTGGAGACCCTATGAATACCCCAAACACCTTTCACTCACTGCTCTTAGTATCCATTAATAAGCCTTACCTGCATTTATTACATTAGGGGATAGAAAAAAGGGTAACTTTTTTTTAAATTCTAGCATTTCCCCTATACTTGTTACCTGGCATTCATTTTTTTTATTCTGTGTGTAAATAATTAAATCAGTATTCTTTTTTATGCTAAAATAGCCTCAAATTTGACCAGTGGCTCTCGCCTATGTCCCTTAACATGACTCTTTAGTCTTTGAACACTTCCTTAACTTAAACATGACATGTCCAGGCTTCCCTTGTACTTTTTTTTGCTTCAGACCCAGAATGAACCATTTTTTCCAAGTGCCCTGGAACTGCTTTTTTAAAGAAAAGTGGAATTTACCAAAATCTGGGTATAGATGTGCTCATTGCTACTGCTTACCATTGTGGACTGGTCCTTTTACCTGCAGAACTAGAGAGTGATTTTGTTTTGTTTTGTTTTGTTTTAATTAATTCATACTGATATTTTGAATTCAGCACTACATGGTTCTTCATCATCTTTTTTTCGTCCATATTTGTATCTCTCTTCTTCCACAGTAAAACCCTGGTTCTCAACATCAGTCATATTTATTCATATGCTGTACCTACAATACACAAAAAATAACTACTACACTAATAACAACAGTTAACACTTATTAAATAGAATTCAAGATTTCTTTGCAGTTCTTTTTCTGCTTTAAATTATTCCCCAGAGTTTTATGTTGAAACTTTTCTTAAATTAATTGTTTTCTGGGTGATTAAAGAGGAATAGGAATTTACTAAGTGTGGAGGAGTCCTGGTGAATTTCAGAACAAAGGAATATATGTTCAGACACACTGAGTTATGCAAAAACTTAGCAAATTAATAAGAAATGGTGAGTTTCTGCACAGCTGAACAAGTGGCAGAAGATGATACTAAAACGTACATAGAAGCAGTGTATGGAGATCATTTTTGCAAATAACGAGTTTGTATTTTTGGGGGTGGACAACAAAGGGATGGTGGTGAACTAAGTGTTCACTCTTATAGTTTGTCAATGTTTTTTAAATAATTTTCAGATTTACATAATCTAATTATATGGTTATTCTCATGTATTAACATTACTGGCAGTGGATGATTTTCTGTAAGCATTGATCATAACACTGCCTGTTATGCGTCACCTCTGAAATGTTAGCATGTTTAGAAGAATCTAGTGCTGGCCAAAGCTCCAAAAATCTGAAAATAAGTGCATTTCTGAAATTTCAGTGCAGACCTATGTTGCTTCTCCCCCCCCCCCCCCCCCACCTCCAAGCCGTTAGTTGTTCTCAGTCTGGTTGTGGAGGACGCTGCTTCACTGGCCCATGTTGATATTATGTTCATTGCGCTCTTCCCAGGTGAGGCTGTCGGTCACCGGCCATTGGACGGCCGCTCGCGGCAGCTCTCGCCAGCTGCTGGCCACTGTAGCTCATGGCAGCTCATGGCAGCTTCACGGCAGCTCATGCCATCCACTGGCCCCTCACGGCAGCCCAGCTCCAGGTTGAGCCATTGTTCACAATCGTAGCTGTAGAGGGCACAGCTTACTGGCACATGGGAATGGAACCGGCAGCCCTGCTGCTCAGAGCTTGCACTCTTACCAACTGAGCTAACTGGACGCACCCCTATGTTGCTTTTGAAAGCTGCTTTGGTAAAATTAAAACTTACCTTAGAAATTAAGCTGTAGTTTTTTGGTTCAGAAATGATTTTTAGAACAACTACATTGGAAAGTATCTTAATGGAGGACAGGGATTAAATATTTAAATATTTTTATGTGTGCAGTTTAAAAAAATATATATTTAATTAATAAACATATTTTAGAGCAGTTTTAGGTTCACAGCAAAATGGAACAGAAAGTACAGAGGTTTTACCACACACATATAGCCTCCCCCACTCACACACAGCCACACACACACACACACACACACACACGCACCCACGCACCCACGCACACGCACAGCCTCCTACACAAGCATAGCCTCCCACACTACATCCAGCACCAAGGTGGTGCATTGTTACAATTGCTCTGCACTGACACATCATCACCCAAAGTCCATAGTTTTACATTAGGGTTTACTCTCGGTGTTGTACATTCTATATGTTTGGACAAATGTATCCATTTCCAGTATATCCCAATGTATCCAACAGAATTGCTTCACTGCCCTAAAAGTCCTCTGTACTCTGCTTATGCATCTCTTCCACTCTCCCTCCCTAACTTCTGGCAGCCCCTGAGAGTTTTCCTGTTTCCGTAGTTTGCCTTTTCCAGAATCATGGCCCCTGGTCTGACTCTTGCCCAGGCTCTGCCTTAACATTTGCAGTCTACTGTTAATCTGTTATTTCTGTCTTGTCCATGTGCAGCGTTGGTCAGTGACATTAAACAGCAAAGCTTCCAGAAAACTCATGAATGTTTAAATCACAAACTCCTATTTTGAAAATAAATAGTTTGCTTGGAAGGATGATTTTTGTAACGTAACGGTAGGAAATAAGGTTACAAGAGGGAGGCAGAGGCTACATTGGAGACCCTGGAATGCCAAGCTAAAGAGTTTAGCCTGTCATTTAGACAGTGATTTGAGACTATAGCATTGTTTGTCTTTTAATTTTTTTCCTTGTTTTATTTTTTTAAGCAGTGTTTTAGGAAAATTAATCACAACAGCTGCAGTGCGTAGGGGTGTGTGTGTGTGTGTGTGTATGTGTGTGTGTGTGTGTGTGTTTCTTACAGAAGCCAGAGACTGGAGACAGATCAATTAGACTCACACCCATGGGACTACTTTGGTGTGAGATGCTGAGTTTTATGAGAATTGGCAGGGTATCAGGATTAGACTGGAAAGAAAGTGATGGATGTAAGAGATATTTCAAAGGATTTAGTGACTAAGCGTTGAGAAGGAGAGAAAGAGGGATAACTCTTAAATCTGAATGAGATGACAAAATGCATAATAGATCCATGGATATACATAGGAAGATCCAAAAAGAGGAAGTTAATTTGGAGATAAATGAATTTTAGATGGAGAAAGATAGAATATTCCAGTTGAGTTTGAAAACTATTCAAGAGATAAGGAAAGAACTAGAGATGTAGAGCTTGGAAGTCACGTACTAAGCAGTAAGCGCTGGAACTGAGAATGGCTGGGCTCTCCGTTGAAGGGCTTACAGAGCAAGAGTAGTGAAGACTCAGCCTTGGCCTGCATTCCCATTTAGGGAGTAGCAGCAGGCGACAACCAAACAAGGCAAAGAGAAAGGATGCGGAAGTGTTGGAAGGGAACCAAGAGGGAACAAGGTTTTAGAAGTGAAGTAAGGCGTTTCCGGAAGTGATACCAGTACTGTTAGATGCTGGAGAGACTGAGGAGAATGCAAACTGAAAAGCGTGACTTGTTCTTATATGTTCAGCCTGCCATGTATAAAATAATTTTCATGGTGCTTGTCTCTTAGTTTTATCTTTCTTCATTTCCTCCTATAATTCTTCTGATTGTAAAAATGTTATATGTGCTTATTACAGAAAATTTGGGAAGTATAAAAAAAGGCACAAAGAAGAAATGAAAATGTTTCAGCAATCCCACTGCTGAGCGAGGTCTGCAGTGAATATTTTGTTGCTTGTACTTCAATTATAATTTCAATTTAGATATAGATTCTTTTTTCCATATACGAAAGTCTCCCCTTTTCATTTACTTTACCATGAATGTTTTTTTCAACATCAAATAATCCGTAGTAGGATCTTTAATGACTGTTTAATACGAGATCATATAATATTATGG